CAATTAAAAAAATATATTTACTGTTTGTCAGTCAGTGCGCAATGGCCTGATGGAGAGCATCTAAATCTGATGGGTTTGGAACCTGGTGTGATGCCAGGTAGTTGTCATAAAGTGGCTTCCCATAATATGTAGGGGGATGTAAATTTAAACTTCCTTACAGTTAATCTCTTTCTTCCTTTTGCAAGTGAAATGAAAAGTAGTGAGCAAAACAGAAATACAGTAAACAGCAATGTTTCTTGGAAATATTCTAACATTCTTGAGTTTTGGAAACTCAAGAAACGGTTAAATGTTGGTTAGAGTAAGAAAGAGTGAGAGAGGTTTGAGCTGTATCTGCCTTCATGAGCGTGTAAGGGCTTCATGCCATTTCTTTTTCAGGCCACTCTCTCCAAAGACAGTCTCCAGGTAGCAGATGGGATGATTGTGCTTCTTCCACCTAGTGCCCTGTCCTACGGGGATGCTGGGAAGCCAAGTGTGCACCACACTGAAATTGCAGCTCATCGAACTTACTCATACAGAGCAGAACAAGTGATGGAAAAATGAATTTATTCAGTGCTAGTGTTGCTCAAAATCAATACTTGCTGTTATGAACTAAGGTGTAAGAACAGTGAAAGTGGGAATGATATAATGGACAAGCTCTCCAAAACTATTCTATTTGAGACCTTGCTAACTCTAGTTGGTTGGCACAAATAGATCAGTTAGTCAGAATTACAGTATCTAACCATTAGAAAACTTTGACAGACACAGTAAAGCAAACAAGGTCTTTGAAAACTATGATCAATATGAACTGCATAAGCGGAAAAGTATTTGGATTTATGCTAACAGTAGTATGGCTGTATTTGGAGGGAATGAAAAGGTCCGTGCTGTTTCTCTGAGAAAGCCAGGAGTGTTCCCTAGAAAGCAGTGGAAATGGCTATCGCTGTAAGAGCGAGTGCAGATAAGTGGAAAACAGCCTGATCTAAGGCCTCGAGAACTGCCTAGAGATCAGGGCACCTGAGTTCATCCCCTGGGTCCCCCGCTGCCTTGCAGCCTGACCTTGGCCAGCTCACTTCTCCCTGCCTCGCTTTCACCAACAACAATCAGGAAACAAATCCTTAATTTCCTTTGGGATTTATTCATGAGAAAGACAATGAAAGCAGGGAAGTGTTATCATCTGGGGTTGAAATGCCACACACCTAGTGAACGCTCAACTCCCCTTGTATTATTTAATTTAAATGCAGTTAGCTTGTATCAGGGTTTTTCCCATGTTTTCTTTAGAGATGTAAGATAATGAGAACTACTTTTTTTGTCCTCCTGAAATACAGCTCTTTATAACACACAGTGCCTTGCTTGAAATGTTGTGTAAAGAATAGTTGCTTATGAGTTGTTTGTGAGGACAGTGCAACATGTTAGATCACCTTTCATTGAACAACATGCTTTATAATTAATGTACAAAATTATGTCCTCTCTTTTTTTCAAGTGGAGCTTGAAGAGCATCATCCTTTGCTGTGGTCTAATTACAGAACATCCTCATCTTAGTAATAACTTTATTTATGAATATACTTTACGTGCCCCTCATAAATTATCCTTCAGCTGCTGCAGCAGTGAGCTGAGGAAGAAAAGTTGCTTTAAGCAAAACCTGAAGATGACCCTGATTGGAGACTTGAGCCATTTTTCACAATGTGGGTTTGCAACTGACTTGGTGTGTGTGTTGTTGGTAGGTTGGATGGATGAAGAGGCGGGATAAAGCTCTCAATGTTTCCTCCCCTTACCTTCCCTGAAGAGAGGGAGAATTGCCCAACTGAGACAATATCACTTAATAGCCTGCCTTGCTGGACTGGTGTGCGGGGTCATTCATTACTGCTTTCACAGTGCTCAGGAAACAGGCAGATTAAAACTTTTTCTTTCCTACAGCCATGGTAGGGCACATTGAGGCTGCTATGATGTCTCAGAAGATTGTAGTGCTTTTCTTATTTGCATTTCCAGCTCTGTCACTATGTTGCTGAGATACCTCAGTCATGGCCTTTTCTAAATTCAGCAGTTTAGAAGGCAGCTGTTACCTTATTCATTAAAAAGGGAAGAAATAAAAAGCAAAAACAGTCCCTCTAACTTTGAAAAACCTCTATGTAGTTTTGTTTTCAAATTTGATCTGTCGAAATTGCTTCCCTCTAGTGGTTTTCAAACTGTATTTCTAAACATGAAAAAGTTGGTGCAATGCAGAAGTTTCTGAATTTTTAAGAAGGCCATTTCTTTGAGAAAGTTCTGTGCTTAACAAAATGTAATTTCTTTTTGGGGTAATTAACTTACAAAATGCTAGGGACTTTCCAGCCATTGGAAACCCTATCCTAAAGCTCAGTTTAGCACAGACAGCTGCAGAACAGGTCTTAGCTTCTTAGCTAGCTATCCCAAACATTGTCTATAGAGCTGCCATTCCTGCCTGGTTGACTGCAAGGCCACTGCTGCAGAGAGCGTACCAATCATGCTGAAATGTGTAAAATTAGCATTTAAGCTAAAATAATGACATAACCTTCTGTGCAGTGTATAATCCTAATAAGATTAAGCTTTAGCAAAGAAAAACATAAAAGATATAACCTAATAAAATTATAATCTATTCTGAATAAACTGTATTATACATGTTTGCTGAATGGATTATATAAGTTTAATGAAATTACACTGTCTTATAAGCAGGATACAATAAGTAGTAATGGCAGCTTTTCTACACACAATGCAAGAGAGTAAGGAAGAAGATGGGGATTATTAGAAAATAAGTTTAGTCAAAACAATTTAAAATCAAAAAGATAAAGATAAAAATAGAATAATAATTTCTTAAATACTGCAACAAAGAGCTTAGTGCTTCTTTGAGTGTATTAGCTAAGATCAAAGTAAGATAGCTAGACATCAATAACTCAAAAATATCCAGAAAATACCTGTAGTTTTTAGAGGAAGAAGGAAGACTGGATTGACATAGTGTTGGAGAGGAATGTTAAAACACAGCTAAAAAGAATGCGAAAGATTTGAGAAAATTTAACACTTTCTCAGCATTTGGTCAAATTTTGTTCATATTGCTTTAGTGTATTCTGCATTTGTCCATTCCATCTCTTCATCCAATACGTAGTAGTGGATTCCACGCTGTTAGCACTTCTGAGCCAGATGGCATACACTCTGTCATGCTGAGATCATGTTGGAAATGTCATCTATGCAGCACAGCTGAGATATAGTAGCACTTTAAAATGAATTTCTCAGTTGTTGTCCACTACAGCAGTTTTTTTGTTGGGGGTATTTTACCCATGTAAAAAGAATAACTAAATATGCTTTTTTTGCCTTTAAAAATTAAAGCATTTCCACGTATTTTTGATAGTTTACCAAATTTCAGCTTAGCTTGTTGTAGTAAGGAATAATGTATTTGTCCTTATAGAAGTACTAAAAATGTTAAGAAAACTGCTTTCAAAACTATGTTAGCACAACCACATTACCTCTCCAAGAACTGTGCTGCATATTTTTGAAAACCATTACGAGACAGTCAAGAATCATGTTAAGACAGAACGGTCTGAGACTTAACCTCTCCCATAAGTGTAACACAGTAAGGGTTTTTCCTGGGTTAAGTGGAGGGAAGATGGAGAGAGAAAGGAAGAGGTGCAAGCAGTATGGTTATATTATTTATCAGATTTTTTTTATTTCATGTGCTGAAAATTGTGAATTTTAATAGATGCTGAAAGGCAGGGCTATAAAAATAACATTTTAGGGGCCCACATCTGTTTTCGTTTTCTGATTTCTTACTTAAGTTGCTTAGTTTGCACAAAGAGTTGCTTTTCTGTCTGTCCAGATAAAAAACACATCTTGTATTCCAACAGGCAGAATTTGAAAATGCATATTTTCTCTCGGAAACACAAGGTCTCGTGAGCTTACACAGCTTTGTCCCCTTTCCACAGCTCCATAGTAGGTGCTTAAGCACTTGGACTTAAACAATGTAGTACCTATAAAAACTAGACCCAAGAGTCAAACGGGTTTCTTTTCCATGCATAATAATTCCATAGTAGACTATATTCTTTTGCGTATCTATAAAATCTCATTGGTTTAAAACCCCATCCTTGGTTACATTTGGACAATACTAGTGGGCTTCAAAGAAAAAGACTACAGGAGGTCATGTAGAAAGTAAAGGATTATATTTAAAGGAGTCCCTGAACTTACGTCATATGGTAAGGGATTAGGCATGTTTTATAAGCTGATTCATGTCATATAACTAAGTCATGAAAATGAAGTTAAATTTCCTAGTAAGGACTAGTCTTCATGTGCGACATCCTGGTTAGAGGAGCCTTCCCCCCACTGAAGGCTGTAAAGGGAGACATGAGTCGTTGTTTTGGATGAGGGCAGTGCTAGATATTTATAAGGCTGTCCATCTATGCACTTAGCGAATTTCTAATGGCTCTTCTGATAGAAATAAGTGTCATGTTTTACTAGTGGAGTTTAAGTTCTAATTTGTGTAAGTAAAAGAGAAAGGAATAGAAGAAATATATATTTCAAGATTCCTAACCAACAAACAACTCAAAGTAAAATAGATGGCATTTGCATTAAGTATTCCTTTGGCTTATTCTGTTTTCGTTCCCTTGTCCCTTATTTTTCTCCTTTATGTTGTGTATTTGGTTTCTCAGACTACTGGCTTTTGATGGGCAGGGGCTGTGTTCCTTTTCTGTGTTGAAGTGGCCTATGACGTTACTGAAACCTGCTTCAACAACAAAACGAACTAAAACGGCCATGGCACTGCAGCCAGTGTGGAAGAAGATGTGATACGAGGTCTGACTGCGTGCCCCAACTTAACGTCAGTCAGTGAATCTCCTGGGGTGATGCTGCTCTCTGCTCTTTTACCTCTGGCCTTTAAAATACAAGTCATCTTCCCCATTCCTTGCACAGAAATACTGATTCTGAGTAGCACACAGTACTTTTTCACAGTGTTTGCACTTCAACTTTAATTAATTGTAGACTTAGTGATTAGGCATATTACACTGGTTTGTATTTTAGTACTTAAAATGCTGTTGCTTCTTGCTTTTATTTCTTTTATATCTCTCTTTCATTTGTCTGTAGACCCAAAGATGTGCCTTTTCCTTATCTGAAGTGAGTAGCTTCTCTGATACAAAGATTTAGCTTTTGATTATGTGTTGTCCAGCTTCTGCTTGCTATTATAACTAATGAGGATACAGCGAGGGGAGGAAAAGCGACAAGAATAAAAGCAGTGTGCCTGTGAGTAACGCTGGAATGGTGATGGACAAGAAGAATCAGTAGCTTCATGCAGTCAAGAGCAGTAACAGATTTAATAAACAGCTACAGCCCAAGGCTTTGTTCTGTAAACACAGTGCATCTTCTATCAAAAATACCTTATTATTCTTGACTTAACCTGGACTTGCTCTGTATATTGCAACTATAGATAACTGAGCTGTTGTTACAGGATGCAGGCTGTCCACATGCGCCTGCGTACAGTCCAGTACACTACAACCCAAACCAAGCATGGTCCCAAAACAGAGTCCCGTCAGTTATGTTTACAGAGGGCAAAGAGATAAAAGTCTGACTTAAATTACTTCAGAGTTTCTTAAAATACAGTCATCTTAATTGCTGAAGCATAGTACATTTGTATGTCAAATAATAATCTCTAGAGGCTGGAGGAATGAAAGCTAAAGTGACACAAGGTGACAAGGAGTAATAACAGATATTCTGAGGTTATAAATCATATTCCTGTTGTTTGAAAAGGAAAATCAGACCACACTCTGTATATGGCAGATTGTAAAATCTGAAATACATGAGAAATGACAACTTTCAGCAATTTAATTTTGCATGCTGGTAGAGCTAAACTTTCATCTTCCTGTGGAAAGCCACAGGTTGTCTTAAGCGTAAGTGTTGCTTTGATGAGTTAGGTTATGTCTGCCCCCCACCCATGGGCTGGTGGCCCGACCCCAGGGAGGTGCCCGATGCCTGGGGCTGGGGCTGCCCTGGTGCCCCTGGCTGCCCTGCTCCTGGCTGGGCGTGGGATGGGCCCTGGCTGCCCTCCGCCACTCCCAGCCCCCAGGGATCAGCCAGGCCTCCCTGACACCCTAGTGTGAATTAGTCTTCCTATAATATGGGTTATATTTGCAGATTCTTAAGTCTCTTTCTTAAATGCAGTCTTACCTTTAAACAGTGGAAGCTTACCTGGTAAGTGAGGTACAGAACCTAATACAGGTAAGTGAGGTACAGGTACCTAATACATGCGTGCATGCACACACATACACACGCGTGCACTTTATGCACAAACATGGCATTTTGGAATGTGTAAAGTTAATTAATTTTCCACGCTCTTTTGTTATTTCTTGCTGATTTCCTGAGTGTTACTCCCATGTTTCATTCTGGCACCCCTGTCTACTTGCCAGCCTACTCAGATGCCTTATTTCATAGAGGGGTACATGAAATAATTTTAAGTGCTGTTAATCTTCAAAACGATAACTTGAGAACAGTGAATTTTCCATTTTCCAAGGTAGGTGGAGGAAAAAATACCCATGAATAATAGTAGTGCTTGCACAGACTTTTCCAGTTCTGCTCTGAGCTCTAAGGAATGCTTCTGAATACGAGAGTGAGCTTGAAAGAGGATGAGGCCACAGGCAATGAAATCCTAGATTCAGTGAATTTAGTGGGACTTTTCTGCCTTGGTAAGAGTAGTGACAGAATTTCCATTGACCTCAGTTGTGCAGAGATTTTGTCTGCACTGCGGAGCCCCACGGCACAGGTGAGAAGGGAGTCTCTGTGCCCTGAAGAAAGGTTTACGAGGAAATATATTTTCTGTCTGACTCTAAGAAGTCAAATTAGGGGGAGTACAGGGAGGTCATTAGCTTCTATCCTGCAGTGAGCACCTTGTGGAAGAACTGCCCTACTGAAGCAAGTCTTTATTTTCTTGTAGGAGACAGACATGTACAATTAGTTTACTTTATTCTAATCATTTATAAGGAGCAATCTTTTCTGATCTATAATCTGAATAGATCTCATTGTTTGAGAAGGTTTCTGGGCTGCTTGGTTTCATCTCCTGTTCAGCTGTTTTCTCCTGCAGCAATTTAAGAAGTTGCCGTGGTTTAAACCCAGCCGGGAACAAAGCACCATGCAGCCGCTCACTCACTTCCCCCTCCAGGAAAGGTAAAAGTGAGAAAACTCATGGGTTGCGATAAGAACAGTTTAATAATTGAAATATTATAACAACAACAACAACAACAACAACAACATTGTAATGAAAAGGAAAATAACAAAGAGAGAGGAATAAAACCCAAGAAAGACCCAAGTGATGCAAATGAAACAATTGCTTACCACCAACTGACTGATGCCCAGCCCGTCCCCGAGCAGTGGCCTCCCCACCAACCTCCTCCCTAGTTTTATTGCTGAGCATGAAGTCATATGGTATGGAATATCCCTTTGGTCAGCTGGTGTCAGCTGTCCCGGCTGTGTCCTCTCCCAGCCTCTTGTGCACCCCCAGCTTCCTCGCTGGTGGGGTGGGGTGAGGAGCAGAAAAGGCCTTGACTCTGTGTAAGCACTGCTCAGCAGTAACGAAAACACCCCTGTGTTACCAACACTGTTTCCAGCACAAATCCAAAACATAGCCTCATACTAGCTACTGTGAAGAAAATTAACTCTACCCCAGCCAAAACCAGCACACAAGTATTTTCTCTGCTCAGAGTTTTGTGTTACTAAAATACCTGTAGATGGCCATTTCCGTTACTTGTCATTATGTTATCAGAGCTTAAGGGTACTGTAGTATCAACTATAGTAGCAGTGGCCCCTCTAGGCTTCAATGGAGAAAATGGGGTCAGCAGTAAGTTTGTATTTTATACCTGTTTTAATGATTTTCTTGTTTTTGCATACTCTGCTTACAAGCTTCTACCTCTATCACTGTTACATGGTATAAGGAAGGTATGGCTGTTTTCTGTCAAATTTGTATTTGTCATTTTCTAAATCACTGTTTTCATTCAAACTCTAGTTAGAGGCAAAATTGGAAGATATTTCCTCTGAAGTGCTGTTATTGCTTACATTTCCAAGGAAAAAAAGAAAAGTAGTCAACTGTTTGTTTAACATCTTGGGATGTTTCATGTATAGATTTACCACCTGCAGATTTTCAAAAGAAGGTCCTTGTTTTGAAAATGTGATCCTAAATCTGAGGTAACACCAGGGCACTTTGGAGAATATTGTTTAGAGGGAGTTTCTACTCCCTTGCTGTGAACTTTTCACATCTGTTAGGCAGCATTCACACCAAGGAGCATGGACTTTAAAAATTTGTTTCATGCCATAAACCACCAGTAGCTGCATGCTATGCTTTTCCTATGCCAGACCCACAAAGGACGTGAATCGTTACTGACTCCGGGTGTTCAGTTTATGCTGCTGAGACTCATGCAGCTCTGGAGGTCCTCAGTCTAATCCTAAATGTTGATAGGTGTCAGAAGAGTTTTCTTGCACGTTCCAGAAAGGAAAGGAAGTATTAGAGCAAATGTACATACGTTATTTGTATGAATAAGCTGGAACTGTTCCTCCCTTAACAATACAATTTTTTAATTGGCTCTGAATGTTCTCAATAAATATGTAATTTTCTCTTTCTGATACGGATTTTTATTTGTTAATCTTTTTGTAGAATAGTTTACTTCATACCTACTCTCTGAAATCTTTGGGTACTTTCTTTCCCTTTAGGAGTTTTCAGTTATTGCCAACGATATCATTATATTTTCCCTTGAAGCGGTATGTTCATAACAGGATAATGGGGAGAGAAGCTGTTCGGTTTGTGATTGATTAGTGGATGTACAATCTCAATTCCCTTGGAAAGTGGGCGTGTGATTGTTTGAGTCTGTGTTTCTTTGGAGAGAGACCATTTCAGGGAATCGTCGTTAGAGCTGCGAACAATCCATTAGTCACTCATCCAAGCCCTGCCAACGTAATACTGTTCTCTGCACTACATTATTGAGTGTTTTGTCCAATATCGGTTTGAGTGACTCAAGGCATGAGGCTTCTACCACTTCCTCTGAGAAACTATTTCATGGTCTGACAGAGCTCACTGTTAGGAAATATTTCCTGGTACTCAGCCTAAACTTTTTAACACCCAGATTGATCTCATTACTGTTAGGTATACTTTTTTTTCCAGTCCTGTCTTAAATCTTTTTCCTTCTTTGGCATTCACCCTCCTGAGTGAATGTAGATGGTATCATATCTCCTCTTAAGTCAAGCAAATGCATAATTAGTTCTTCTATTCCTTCTCTCCAAATAGGCCATCTGTTTGGTGGAAAACAGGGCCGAGTATGGGCAGATTTTTTCCTACTAAGTGCTTGTTTCAAATAAATAATATGAAAAAGTGCATTAGGAGTTCATGTGAATATGTAGCTCCAAGGACCCCCAACTTTTATATAAAATGTTTTTCAGAAACTATGTAGAAGATCGTAACTTTTCCAGGCAGTCATTTGAAGTAGTAATACCTTTTTCTAGCACAATATACAGCTCTAGCACTAGTAGTGTGTCACATTTCATGGCTTCAGGGAATGTTTTGTAATGTTGCTTCATCTATTTATCAAGCAAATTATATGTAGCTACAGCCTGGAGAGGGGAGAGCAATGGCAGCAGAATTGCAAGCAGATCCAGAGGCCATTTGAACGTCTGTCATTCACAGCTTTACAGCCAGAATTTACAAGTATTTGGGTCATATAAGGATTTTTGAGGAAGGGAATGTACTTTAATCCATCCAACCATTACATATCTCTGGATTTCTTTCTAGTAGCCAACATCTGTTTGGTATTCCCTTCCCTTCCCTTCCCTTCCCCTCCCTTCCCTTCCCTTCCTCCCTTCCCTGCTCCCTTCCCTCCTTTCTTCCTCCCTTCCCTGCTCCCTTCCCTCCTTTCTTCCTTCCTTCCTTTCCTCTCTCCTTCCCTCCCTTCCCTCCTTTTTCTCCCTTCCCTCCCTCTCTCGTCCCCCCCCTTCCTCCCCTCCCTTCCCTACCACATTCCAGATCAGTGTCCCCTAGCCTAAGATGGTTTTTCACATTACTTATTATAGTCTATATTCTGCAAAGATGTATGCACAGAATAAACTGTATTTGCAAAACCTGGGTATGTGCTATTCTTATTTCTTATGGATGGTCTGCTGCTTACTCAGAGACTCCTAGTCAGAGGAACACTTAGATTTACAAATAAGACTTCTAAACTAAGTACTCCATGCTTGCTTTGAAAAACATGTAGTATGTATTTTAAGCACATGATTATGGTTTTTGATGAATCACTGTGCAATTTGGGAACCAAGCCTCTGTTTTGTTAATTTTTCACCTGAGATTACCTGATGCGTGTGGGTTTGTGACCCGGGCTTCCAGCTCGGGGAGTAAACAAGCTGCGTGCACTTCCTCTGAACTGTAGTAGACAGGATGCGCAGGTCCTCAGGCAACAGCATTCCTGAGCTAACTTATTACAATTTTACTAAGCTAATTAAGGAAGAAAAATGCAGTGATCAAACTAAGATCAAGTCAAGTTTGAACCAAACCAGTGGGTTCAGCTCATTAAACTACCAATTTAATAAAACAGATAATCTTACGATATTGCACACAAATACATAAATGCAAAAAAGGAAAAGGCAGGTAAATGACAGTCTGCCATCATGAAAAGAAAGCTTGAATAAGTCCTGCAGCTTGCTCGTTCTGTTGTTTGCTACCTGAGATGAAGTACTGATAGATGTGCCAGAGCCCAGGCCGTTTGCTGCATCTCTCAGGAAGTCTCAGGCACCTTCTTCGCCCCTGGTTGGAGTGACTGGGGCAGCCAGGGTCTCCAAAGGATACCTCCTGGCGCAAGGGAAAGAATCGCTTGTCTTTCTCTTTCCTTCCTTTTTACAGGGAGCGTTCCTCACTTTTTCTGCCTCAGAGGCAAATGCTATGGCTTTGGGCCAAGTTGTATGGAGTGAAGCAGGAAGGGGTGGCTGCAGTTCAGTCCCCAGCGGGTGGCACATGTCTGAGGTGAGGGTGGGAAGTCCCACCTCTGGAATGGTCCTTCTACTCGCATCAATTCCCCTCATACGTGAGGAGCAAGGTGCATGCAGGGCTTTCAGTTTAGAAGCACAAGTGGCTTTTATGTGAACAAACTCTACCCATATTTAAGGGACTGATGTTTTCCCACTCCCCATGACAATTTCGTGGCAATATTCCTCACGTGCGCCTATGACTGACCTGCTCTCCGCCAAAGGTCTGGTCTTCTCTTTGTTCAAGAGTGTGTTCCCCTTCCGCGCAGGTTATCCAGGCTGTTTTCTTCGGAATCTGCGTCTTGACCGATCTGTCCAGTCTTCTCACTAAAGGAAATGACAGTCAAGAGCAAGAGAGGCAGCTGAAAAAACTCATTTCCCTCCGTGACTGGGTGATGGCTGTTCTAGCTTTCCCTGTTGGAGTGGTAAGTACGGTGTTAATCTGTGCATGTCTTTACAAACTGGGTGAACGGTGTTATTTACTGATTGTTTTCTGGCTAAAAGGCTTTCCCACCTCTACGCAAAAGACTATGCGGAAAGGGAAGAATGGTAGAGATTATTTTACTACTCTCTTGTTTTTCACAAGTGTAAGGGAGTACTGGTGTTGCTGAAATTATTTTTGGTTCATTTAAAAAAATGTACTTTACAATAGGAGCTTGATTGTACAAGTCATTTCAAATGTGAATTGTACCAGCAGCATGTTGAGAGTCAATTTGGACTTTTCCTGCACCATGTGTCATCGTCAGGAGTAGTGAAAGTGCTGATTGTGGCATGTTTCACACCGTAATGACCTGACCAGAGTTTGGGCTGTAAGCCATTTTGTCATGGGCAAGAAGGGGAGGCGCAAGTCCTGGTTGTTCCCTTTTAATCCCATGGGGGGATTCAGAGCTGACAGAAAAAATGGGGTAGGAAAGAAAGGGGTTTGTCAGTAATGTAAAAAAGCACACAGAAGGTATGGAAAAATATGGGGTTTACATGTCTTTTTCAAAAGAAAACTATTCTTTGGATCAGGTCCTGCTCCACTGGGACATTGCACATTGCTTTCAACAGCAAATGGTGCTGAGTGTCTTTACGTGTCTCATACCACAAACTGAAAGCAGCTGAAAATCCAGAATTTCATTGGTTTTTACATGGAAGTGTGATCTGTGTCAGTCTAGTTCTAAGTTTAGGTTACATTAAAAAAAAAGTGTGAACCTTTCATTAAAGTATTGCTTTTATTGTAATTCAGGATCAACCTTTAATTCTAATTTTTTATTTCAGTGTACAGTAGTTCAAAAGAAATTCACTACAAGCAGATTTTTTTCATGGTAGGACTACTAGAAAACTGTATGAGGTCTCTAAGGTTGTACTGTTTCACACAAGCTGACCACTTACTGTCAATTGACAGCAGTTAACACAACATATCAATCTATCATTTGTAATTTGATATATTCAGAGATGTGATTTCACCTTTTATGTGGGATTTCACAATACATGAAGAAATACAGAATGCTGTTGCAAAGTTAGAAAATGCAAAGCATATGTGACACACTGTGCAGGTATTTCTTCCATAAAAGCCCAGCTGGTAGCCTTCCCTTACTGTACTTGCTGGCCTGCCTGTTGGGAGCTGCCACAATTCATGTTGGGGTAACAGACTGCAGTTCCCCAGCCATGGTGGAAGAAACTGGATCAACTAGTACAGTTTTTAAAAAATCTGTGCATAAACAGGCTTGCAAATATGTGTTTTATGGGTGCAGAGATTTATGTTACATTTGTATTTTAAGGGGGATTGAGAATTAGAAGTAGTTGTGATTGTGATTGGCAACAGATGCTTTTCCTGCTCTGTTGATAGTAGAAGTGAAGAAGGAGAACATCATCACATTATTTGTCTTTATTTAAAGATTTTAAGTGCCTTTTTCAACCTAGAAGTGTAAGCCTTTACATGCATTAAAGCATACCCTCCTTGGCTCTCTCATGCCGCTCAGGTTTCAGGGATTCTCTCCTGCAGCTGTTTTAGCTCTGTATTGTTGTCTGTGTGCTCCTCCACCCCTGCAGTGTTCCTGACCTTGAAACTCTTCAAGATCTTGGAGAATTTCAGCTTTACTTTGTCTTGGCAATTCTGCGCATTTCTTTCAGGCGTTGTTTCTCTTGCCACCGGTAAGCGAGGAATCCCAGCTAGCCATTGCCTGCACTAGAAGTACTATTGCAACATTTCCATGTTAGCAGTTCCCAAGAGACGTGTAGCATATCTGGAGCTAGCCGCTTTCCCAAGGGTTTCATACAGAAACAACTTCTGTCTTAAAGAAAAAAAAAAATATCCAGAAAATAGTAAGAAATGGCCATGCTTATTGGACAGATGCTTTCCATTTCCAAAGGTGACCTTTCCGTGTGAGGGGGAGAAATTGATTACCACATATTATGTCACTTCTTACACAGAAAGCCTAAAAAGGTTGTTTTCACTGTTGTTTCTGTTCCTGGCTACTGGGAGACAAACAGCAGCACTTCATAACTTAACACTGGTCTCAGCTCCTTCCTGAAACCTGATCGTCTCCAGCAGCGGCCACCACACCGCAGCTACTGCTTGCCAAAGCCTTGACCGGTGCCTGAGGGACTGCCAGCCGCTGGGGGCTCTTCTTCGGTGGGATTACGGGTAGGAAGAGTTAAGGGCTCGAAAGTAGCAAACGTCTAACACTGACTTTGTTCTCTAAAGAGCTATTTATGTGTAAGAAAATACCCAGTGAAATTTTGGTATGCCGGAGGTGCTTGTTAGAAGGAAGTTATTAAACACCAGAATGTCTGCAGAAAAAAAGTTAAAGTTCCCTCGCTTCTCATATTCTCTCAACAGCTTCCTCACTCAAAAAAAAAAAAAAAAAGAACAAAAGAAGTTCAAATGCAGACTTTCTTTCTTTGAGACTCACCCACCTAGCTCTCCATGGAGCTTCTCAGTGGTTTCCAGTGGTGACACAAGGGAACCTTCACACATAAAAATTGGACGGATGTGAATAAAATCCTTGTTGGGTTTCTAATGTAACAGCAGTGGCCAGGCTTAAGTACTTGTCAGTTACCTTAACATCTAAATTATTTTTATTGCTCAGTGTTTTACACAGGGCATGTTTAGGGAATAATGCAAATACTAGGGGAACATTTTAAAGCCCACTAACTGTGGTTTTTCAAGAGCAATTCAACTCTTTTTGCTGTATTTCCTGCTTACTGAAGCCCTTGAGATGACTTGTTCTGAAAAACAGATGAGAAAAGGGGTTTCCACTCCCAAGTCAAACAATGATGTGTGAAAAAAAAATGTAACAAAATAAAGTATTTCATTTTTAGTACTTCCTAAAAAAGTATTACATATAAACCGCCTGGGAAATCTGACCACCAACCTCCTCCCACCTTCCAAAGGAGGGGAAAGAACCAGCCCAAGGGCAAACAATCTCCTTGGGTGGCTTTGCAACAAATCAAGTCTTGCAAAATCTTTGCAGCAAATCACATCTCTCCGGTGTTGTGTTATGCATTGTGTATCTTTGGGGGCTCAGATAAAACTGAGTTGCCAACCTACCATTTTGTTTAGGAGCATCAACAAATAAACAAGAACCTCCTTGAAGAATATAATGACTGCTGTTTACCTATTGTTGCTCTTTTTAATACGACTCTTAAGTGAATGAAATCAGAAGTCAACAGACCAATTTTCTATGCAGTAAAGCCTTATTCCACAAAAAGTCCGTGGGCAACACTTCCTAGCCCTTTTTTAGTTTATTATAAGCCTGGGGTACTATTCAAATGCCTAAGAGATCAGAAAGCATCCACTGAAGAAAAATGCTTGCATAGACATTTTAGAAGTTCATTACCAATTCTCATCTATACTGGCTGCACTTACCCCGCCTTTATCAGTGTAAAGGAGATTTGTATTGGGAATAATTTGCACTGCTAGAGAAGTGTGAGACATGCTTAAAAGTCAGAGACTACATCAGTGGTTTAGACTATCCCTACTTTTTTCTATTTGTTTGACATAGATCATGAAGTTGCCAAGTTTTTGTGGTTAATCAGTTTTTTGTGTAAACTCTATATGGTTTTATAAATATGTTTCTTGTAATTTGTACCAAACGAGGAAAAAGAGACAGGTATTTCTAGTTGTTTAATAGAAATAGGAAGAAGAAATAAAATTGATATTGTTACATGTTAGAAGAGAGATTGCTGCCTAGAAAATCACAAACTCTACTATTGATATTTTATATCATGTAGCTTTAACGGCTTTGTTCAGGTCTGAGTCTAAACTGGCTAGAATGATCTCATATTCTTTATATTGTACTTCTATGTTTTTAAAAACTTGTGATATGAAAGAGAGAAAGCCAGGCATGCTTTCTTATCTCTTGTTTCTCTGTATTGGTACAGTCAAAAGGAAAGCTGATCACTCTTCTTCCGTAGATCATCAGTAATGCTGATCTGGGATCTTATCCCAGGAAAAGATGTGTAGGCATTTGCTGCAGTCTCCTACTTGCGTCGTTATTTGACCAGACTACAAAATACTTTTATTTCCATAACTGACTCGACCATGCTAAAATCTCTCTGTTCTAGATTTTGCCCTCATCTGTGGTGACATGGTGGCTGGTGATAGGAACATGAGCGAGCAGTGGTGCAATTGCCTCCTGAACTCTGTTCAGGAGTCTTCCCTGATTTTCAGTTCCCACTCCTTGTGATTTTCTTCATTGGCCCTTTTCAAATTCATTTGGTGTGATACTGTGCTAGCACTAGATCCCACCTAAAGCCAGTACCATGCCAATTTGTGCTTACTGTGTCTGCCTTTAATAACACTTTGCTTCTATATGTAATGCTTTTCACTCTCAAAGAGGCTCACAAACAATATATTTATACTCGCAGTTAACCGCAAATGTCTTTGGAGATAGCCAGAAAGCCTACCTTTAACTGTACTTAGAAGAAATTTTGTCAAGGTCAAAGGGTTGGGTTTTTTTTTTGCTTTGTCATAAGGCCATCCAGGAAATGAGTGAACTGAACTGTGCAGCCCAGCCAAAACCAAAAACACATAGTGCAGGAAAATAAAGTTCCACTGGGTTCATTCTTCTTTGCATAACATTTCTTGGTTGGGCTCATGTAAAACAGCAAATTATGCAATTCTTTTCACTGGCTTTCCTCTCTTAGTTTCTCTTTGCTTCCATTTGTGGTGTTTTGATACAGCCATTTGTTTTCCCTTTTGAATCACCAACCGTTTCCCAACTTGTCCTTTAAAATTTTTCCTTTGGCAGTGCCACATGCTCTTCTTATGTCCTCTGAAGCTTCAGAGATGGAGGACAATAACTCAAGGAATATCTCCTTAAGTGGGAAAATAGAGTTTAGTTTTCAGCCTTTTTTTTTTCCCTGCTGCTGTGTATTTGTTTAGCAATACTTTTGATGCCTGTGACAAGTGAGCTACTCTATATTTTCAAACAGTTTCCAAGGTCTGCTTGCAACTTTGAGGTTCCCTTTGGTCTGTAATGACCCTAGATAGGATAAATAGCAAATGAGGGACTCTTCTGTTCTTTTATATGTTGCTTAATCTTATGTTTAACCAAGTAATCGCTGTCTTCGGAAAGTTGGCAATCTTAGGAGGCTCCTGTGCAAAGAAGTGTAAAAGCAATTGCTGGTGCCTGTTTTCTTCCTTGAATTCCAGGCCTCGAGTTTGTCTAAAGAGGAAGTGGAAGGGTGACATTTGTGCCATTTTGCCTTGTGAACAAAAGAAAATAGAAGTATTGGGCTCCCTGAAAGATGTCTGCTGCATATAAGCGGCCTGTTCAGCCTGGCATGTGAGGCTAGTACCATGACTGTCTCCACAATAGCGATGAATTGTGCCACAAGGAAGGCGGCGTGAGCATAAGGGCTGCGACTCTGATTGAGCCTTACATAGGCAGTGTAAAGAAGCAGCTCAATTGTATCATGGTCTGGCACTGCATGACCACGTGTGATCTTGGCAAAGCCCAGCCCAAAGAAAAATCTCCTAGTACCAAAGTGTAAGCATAGTAGAGGTGATTTAAAAGTACCAGACCAACAGTTGCTCATTAATCAAAGTAAACAAATTCAGAAGCAGCCAAGGTAGCTAAGTAGCAAGTCCTCGTTATAGTTCTTTTTATCCAAATAGTTCATTTTTATAGTTCATTTTTATAGTTCATTTTAGTTCTTAGTGCAATAGTTCATTTTTATAGTTCATTTTATCCAAATGAACTAATTGTAAGGAAAGGTAAGGTGAACCATTCAGACACTGGATCATCCCCAGGGTGTTGCATTAGTCTCATGTTGGGTTGTCCTCCGGGATAGGTTAGTTCTGTAACACCTTGGGTTTTGCGCACTTCCTTTACCTTATGTCTGCCTTGTGATACTGCTTTGCAAAGCAGCATTTGCCGTCTGTAGCTCCAGATGGTTGCAACCAGCTAGGCTGATCCCGTTCCATCCATTGGCTGACTTTGGTTAAGGGACAGATGGCACATCCCCTCTTTTCTTATCTTTACCTCCTTGGCAAAGCCTATTGTTTTATTCTGCTCCACAGAAAAATCACAGGTCAAAACATGCCAGCTTTGTTGTATTCAGTGTAATAAGGTTCAACCTAATCCTGGGTGATTTTTCTTGCTGTAAGACTTCCTTGGAAAAAAGCATTATCAGTCTTGGTCTTCATGCGCCTGAGAATATGTTTTTATGTCCCAGTTGGTCTTCGCAGGTTCTCAGAGATCCACTGTGATAATACATGACTTCTAGGAAGCCTATAGAGAAGAGGATACTTTGCTTCCATTTTCCCTGCTGTTCAGCTATTCATATCTTGGCACTTATGTGTCAGCAGGTGCGTAAAGAGCTAGGCTGTGCCAATGCCAAGACTGGTCCAGAAGAGAGACTTCTTGTGGGGTACTTTACACTTGCAATATTTTTCGGGCTGTCCATCATAACCTATTTTTTTTTCCTGGCCTCTGTGCACTAGTCAAATAGTCCAAGCTTATTCTGAGCAGGCACCAATAGCTATCACAACAGATGGACAAGCGTGTTGGAAACCAAGAAACTATGTAGTGTATGCACACTGAGGGAACGGTGTACTGGTGCAGGTCATTCACATAACTGGCTGGCCGAAGTCTGCACGTCTGTGGTTAGAACAAAGTGCCGTTGATAAACTGCAACATCAATTTTAACTTTCCAAAGTCAGAAGCACATGAAACAACTTATGCCTACACTATCACACACACTAGTAATTTGCTGACCTTGCTGTGCTTACCTCATATTTCTTGCACTTTCTTTTACTGAACCCCCAAATTAACCTTAAGATCATGGGCCACCAGTTTTCATGTAACTGAATACTTCCCTGCTGATCTCAGTGAAAGTCCTATCTGTTGCCTTTCAAACTTTAAACTTGGACTTGTGTAGAGATCCCCTGAAAATGGTCATTGAAAAGCTCCTGGCCCAGGTATTGGGTTTTACTGTTGTAAACAATAAGCCTTTTATTACTAGAAAACTATGACTCAAATTCAAGGTAAGAAGGCAATTGTGTTATAATTAGAAGATTATTTACTTTGTTCTTCCCCCAGCTAAGGTAAGCTAAAACTATTATTTCTGTAAATTTTTGCGGTTTTATATTGGTTTTGCTTTTCAGACATCAGGGTATCTTTAAAGAATTTGTGCACATTGTGGCAAAAATTTAGCGTAGTGCAAACTTTATCTGAGCCACCTGTCCTGTCCTCAGTCTAAAGGAAATAATGGTCTTTCTCTGGGCTCCTAGTAAATAGTCTCTGACAAGAACCAAGCCAAATTTCAATTGACAAACGAGCAGGATACTAGGCCTCTTTTCTGTGGATCCCAGTCCATTAATTGTGTGCAGAGTAGTTAAAGGGTTAAATTGTTTTTTTTTTAAGCAATGCTATTTTGATGGCTGACATGAAAAAGTGCAAAGATGAGTTTATAGGCTTCTGTTCAGCTGTTCAGGGGTGAATGTTTCATATTTACTCATTCTATGAATTCCAAGTGATATTTTACCTGATTTTCCATTTGTTCTCTATCCTGTTAGTGGTGAAACATTATTTATGAAGCACATCTGCTACTAAAGTATAGTACTCAGTTGTAATTTGGCCACAGGCATATAAATCAAAAAATGAGATTTTTTCCAGGCTGAAAGTCAAAAAAAAAAAAAAAGAAGAAGAAAAGTTAAAACTCCTGTGAATGCAAAGAATAATCCAGATTCACACTGTTGATTAAAGCAGGATTTGGTCAAAGAACAATAATGTCTGTGTCTGTCCATAGATCATTTGCTAAATGCCCCATTTTGCAATCTAAAATGTGTAGCTAATTGTTCAGAAGCGTATATTTTTAAATGTTTTGTCTTTTCTGTTTTTTTCTTCTTAGTTTGTTGTGACGCTGTTTTGGAGCATCTATATCTATGACAGGGAACTGGTTTACCCAAAGGTGCTTGATAATTTTATACCAGCGTGGCTAAATCATGGAATGGTGAGTAAAGTAATGCAAACACTTCCTTGCATAAACAAAAGTGTAAGACACTGATTTCCCTGTGCATGACTCTGCATACACTTAGAGCTAATCCCCTCAGAAGTGATTAAGGAACATTGTTTGCAAGCAAGAATAACATCTTTCCTTCCTTGACTCCTTGAGTCATTTTTGAATCCCTATTAGATTGAAACAGTGGAGGTTTGAACTTGTGTGTCCTACATCTCAGGCTAGTTGTGGGGATCGGCTGTTTTCTGTAATAAGGTACCTTTTCCAGAGCAATGTCACCCTGGTCATGAGGAAATTTAATCAAAGGAGACTCTTCCACAAAACAGAAATTCTGACTTTGACAAATCTTGCTCTAAAATGACAGAAACACTTAACTGAATGATTATTTACTATTCTACCAAAGTATAATTTGTGATGAAAACCTTTTGGTTAAAATACTTGTTCAAAAAATCTCACTATGGTTTTTGGACTTTTATGGTTTTTAGAAAAAAATGAAATAATTACTTATTTCTCAGGTACACCAACTTGTGTAGCAGAACCCGTATCTGAGTATTTTTAATAATGTGGAATTATATGCATCAACACAAAGTTTCAAAATTGCTGCATTGGTAATCTTAAAAGTAGTGTCTTGAGAAGAAATCTGAGCTTTTCATCCTTCTCTGGTATGTCAAGTTGGACATTCTTTCTCTCAACTATATGTTTAAATGGTAAGGGAAAGATAAGGCCACAGTTTGCTGTCAGGTACTTAATAATGTTTATGCAGTATTTGGAGCTGAAAAGCGTCATGTTTGCTTCTCTAGTTGAGTCGGTGCAAAATATTTCTTTATTATTCTGTTTTCCATATCAAGGCATGGCACGCCATTCGGCACTGCTGTTCATCAGCAGATGACAGCAGAGCTCATCCTTCAGGGTGCGAGTACTGTATCACCACAGCAGATCAAGATTTGTCCACTACTGCTGGGCTTGATAAATTGGTCCTTTGTGGGGTGGGGCAGATGACAAGGCAATGCTATTTATTTGTTCCCTAAATTGTGTGTTAAAGGAGCAGTATGAGAGTTACTACTGACAAGAGGAGCATCAGCTTCTACTAGATACTCAACTGTTTTATGATGTTTTGAAAGGAACAGCGTGCTATTATGTGTATGTAGAGCTGAGGAAGGAGTCTGATAACTCCTGCTGTGTTTGTTCAGACTGTCCTCCCTTGAGTTTTGAGATTACAAACTGAACACTTGCAAACGTTGCCAAGCCATACATACATTGATTGTTTCCCCACACCACATCAGTGCCAGCTCTGATGACATTTCTTCCAGGTGACATTTCACATACTGAAAGTGCCTAACCTATAACATTTTTCATGAATGTAAAAGCAGTTGACAACAAACGGCTATGTATTCAGGAAGTCTCCTCTGTGCCATAACTAAAAGGCAATTCAAGCTCATGTTGCTCTGTAGAAACGTATACTTCCTGAAATATTTGAAGAGGGCTTTTGTTTGGGATTTTTGGACATAACAGAGTTTGCTGAAATAAATTGCGTGCAAGCATCTTAGATGTTTTTTTTTCAACTTGAAATATTGTAGAAGGCATTTTTGAAAGTCTTTTGTAAAGGAATTGTTTGCTGTGTCAGTCTCCATTTATCCAAGTGTTCCTTTAGCTCACAGAGAAAGCTTATGGTTGTTGGGCTTTTCACCACCTTTCAGTCTAATTCTTTCTGATGTTTTAGCCATCATTTTATCCTCACCAGCTTTCATACTAATTAATTCTGATGCGTTGCCCATCATAATATGAAGGGGTTCTTAAACTGCCTTGAGAATGCTAGCACCTCACTTAGTAGTAGTTATAATTTTGACATGGCAGATTTTAGAGAATATGATAGAGGTCCCCTTGGTGAAAGGGTAGGACCTCTGGGAATACAGTTTTAGAAAAGTCAGGATCCCTGGCTATTGTTTTTTACCTAAATAAACATTTATTCCCATCTTTTCCTGCACGTTTTGACAGCAGCTGTGTACATTCAGTGATAACTTTTCTGAATGAAAAGGTGGCTGTGCTGGAGCCTAACCTTGTACAACAAAACTCACACAAGAGATTCATCACCCTTGGCAGAGTGAAATCTGTCAGTGAGAGGTGGGTCCTTTTGCTACTGCGGCATTGCTGATGAATCCCTCTTCTCTGTGAGCTTCCCCTGCAGTGCCTGGTGCAGATCCTAAGGATCTGAGTTCAAGTGTTACTTCACCTGTGAACACTCTGTCCAGGTTTTTTCACAGCAGTTTCGCTAAACGCATCTTTATCACAAAAAAAGCCACAAAAAGTGGAAAATGTAAAACTATACATTTTCCACAGTAAAAAGATTCCCTATTTTAACTGAAAAGTCATATTTTCAAAAGTTTTTGACAGATGTATTATGACCAGCTGTAACAACTTGCTCAACTGTCGACATCAGCCTGCAAAACCCACACGTAGAAAAGGAATGAAAAGTCATGAGATCTGGTTGTAATAATAGCAATCATATTTCCATTAGTAATATGGGCATGTGTCAAAATATTTGAGAGTATTCATACTTTAGAAGCATTTTAAGGTGACTATCCTGAAGGCTATATGAATAAATTGTTTGAAGGGCTAGTCCAATTCAGTGCATTAGGCCAAGCAGAAACTGTTTGCTTTGATAGATTATAATAATTAGTTCGCATCCCGCTTTTTCTTCTCCCCCTTTCCCATCTCTTCTCTGCAGTTACAACGTTGTCTACAGTTAAAAAACCTGTTTTCTTGAATACATTCTAATATCTTGCTAATACTCAGAGATATCACTCTTTCATAGCAACACTTTTTCAAGATCTAAAAAATTCCTAATTATAAAAAAAATTCCTCTCTAGAAGTAGAAAACATAAGGGGAATGGACCCCAGAGCTGTGCAATCCCATTCCAACTCAATCTTAATGTTGTTTATAAAGTTCCGTAGAAGCAGGGAGAGGCTCATCATTGTGCACAAAGATAAAAGCCACAAACTGCTTGCCATAAAATTGCATGTAGTGTCAAGAATTGTATTTCTATTATTTTTTTATATATATATATATCTCTCTACTGTAATAGTTAAAAATATAATTCCTGTCTACAGAAGAATCTGTGTAGTAAGTGGTGCCTTGTGGTACCAGGTGGTACCTCATACATGCAGACTCATACACCTGTGAAAGGCATCACTGATAGAGTTATACTGTGCCATAAAACTGATATATTTCATCATCTCAGTCAGTCGATTCATCCATAACCAATGGTATCACTATGACTTGAGAAATGACCAGGGGAAATCAATGGCAGGGGTGCTGATGATTAAGGATTTCATCTCTGTTTATTATGTGAAGGAGCACATCTGAGTAGCTGAGGTTAAGCTTCCGTCAGTAGAAATAACTACCTGTCTAAAGAGAGCTGTTGGAGAATAGGGCTATGTCTCAGCCTTGGTCTATTTCTGAAGTGTCAAGTTCACTTCCTGTATTTATTAGTTATGCAGATGAATTAATCTTTGCTGGCTACAATTTTAGTTGCCAAATTACTGAACTCTTCCATCAAAGATGTCATTCGTGTTCTTGAGACTCTCCTGCACTGTAGATCCAGATCAACTCTTTAATTCCACAGTCATTGCACCTTTTTGTGTTGGGACTGGACGGGATGATGCATGGATAACATTTGTTTCCAGAAGTTATATTCTCTTCAATATTAGCATAGCCTATAAAACTAGAGGTTGCCCCTATTCTAACCAATGCCCACATAAACAGATCTGTAGACTGAATTAATTTAAGCTTAAGCATTGCGGATTTAAGCTTAAGCATTGCGGATTTTGAGCCAGGTTACATGGCCAGGACTGCATGGTGTGCAGTATCTGTCCAAGTTAGCATACCATTTCAGTGAGAGTCCTTCTTTGTTTTTCACAGACACTGTCCCAAATTCTTTTAAAAAATGTGAATCATGTTTTGTTTGTGGCAAGGAAAGTAAAATATAGAGATAGAAATTACTTACTGGGGAGTTTAATGGCTTTGGAGGTCAGAAACAAAAGAATTGTCTTCATATGAAAACTCTAGAGGAGAGGTCAGAGAAGGGGGAAAGGGAATATGCTCTGCCTCTGTGGAGGTGGAAAATTGATTATTGTGTGGGTTCTGTGCCACTACAATCTATATGAGCTCTTCCAGGTTTGTATTCTATTTTTTTTATGCTGCTTTTGGGAAACAAAGGTGTTCCTAGAAAGACATACCCTCTGTCCTTGTATTCAAGAGAATGCACAAAAACTGGGACAAATAGCCAATGAAGACAAGTTATGGAGAGGAAGGAGCCTGTCCAAGTGATACATCTCTACTTATTTCACAAGTTGGCTCTCTTTTCTTATTGCTGGCTGCTCAGCTGAAAAGCTCAGCCCACCGGAGAGTGGTACGGAGTCCCTCCGGCCATCTCTCAAATTGTTCTTCCTGGCAGCCTTGTCTTGGGTCCAGTGGCCTTGGCTTGTTTGTTCCTTTTTTTTTCTGGTGGAAAGCTTTTTTCTTTGATGATTCGGCAAGTAGAAAAATAGAAAACCCGTGCAAAGACCAAAATTCATCGTAACCTGACATATAAAGATTGGAAGGTCCAAAACTGGTGAGTTTTTTGACAAACCCGTCTCTCCATCATTAGTTGGGTCAGTTACTGCACAGTGCTCGCTCTGATGTACAAACAAGGAGATGTCCTTTCTTTCAGCAAAGTGTTTCTATTGAGCTTGTTGCCCTAAAAATCCTTTTCAGAAATGACTCATTTGAAACAGTGCATTATACTTCTTGAGGATGCTTTCCTAATACAGCAAAATCCTGTGTATGGGCTATTTTTGTACAATGTACTGCACCTTGGTAATGCCTCATGCTTATGCCTAGAAGATACCCTTTTCTGAGATTTGTTTCTAAATCCAATTTAAGGCTTTCAAGGATATTCCAACTCAAGTGCTCTTCTTAAACTATCTATAATATTTTTGTATGTTAGGGGTGAATAAAATCT